CAATGCAATGCAAGTATGTATGTATGTATGTATGTATGTATGTATGTATGTATGTATGTATGTATATATGTACAATATGTATATAATATATACGGTTTTGCGAAGACTCCGAAAGTCCTCTGCAGCAACTTTAGAAAGAGGTTCGGGATGGGCCAGGACATCACCATCACCACGTACTCCTAAACCAACTTAAGGCCTTTCGTCACAAAGAGTGGATCCTAGGCTGTGATGGAAGGGGGTTAGGTTGTCTAGTTAGGGATACCGGATTAGGGTATTTTGGCTTTGCCGCTCCGGGATATAGCTTAGGCGTTTGTCTTTCTTTGGCATGCCTGCGTGCAAGGCTCCAGGCTTATCAGTAGACAGTTAAATCCGGTCGTAAACCCACCTAAAAGTATTCGGGGTTGTGGTCTCAGGGGGCATGAGGGAAGGGCGCGAACGAACTCCGACACGGCTGGGCAAAGGGTCCGGGGTGCAGGGCTTGGGAATGCTTTCCGTTGCCAAAACTGAAGGAGCCACTTCGTGAGGAGTTCTCAAGTTGTGGAGGTTGGAGGCTGGACGCTCGGAACTGAAGGCGGACGCATCCCAGCATTCACGTCCACACTCCCTCGGCCATTTCCCTCCACAACAAAGACGCTAAAACAGCCGAACACCCGTGATGAAGTCACCCATGATGAAGTCCAGGCAGGAGGCCGGAAGAGACAGGCTAACACAAATTAAGAGCCGTCGTAAGATCGGGAGACCCTTTTTAGACCATGCAGCTCAAAACCCTGAGATCCTAAGCCCTAAACCTCCAATGCCCCCCCTTTTCTCTGAGGAGTCGGCCCTCGTCGAACTCAAACCTTTCAGGGGGCTATGGAGTCAAGGCGTTCCGGTCTGGTATTCGGGGGGTTTAGGCTTAGGACTGACGGTTGTTTGCAAATGGGGCTTGAAGGGGTTAGGGTTTAGGGTTTTAGGATTCAGGCTTGAAGATGTCCAATGTGTGGTTTGAGGGCTTGCGGAGCTCATGGTTCCTGGGTTGTGGGAGTGTACTGGTAGGACTGTGAGCTTCAGATTGAATACAAAGGCTCTCCCAATACCACTTGAGTAAGTGAAGCAAAAATGCTTGGGGTAGCGCACGCTTATGCCACAATCACAAAATCTGCTGAAGACATAAGGGAAACACCGTCATGTTCACAGACCCCCCGATTAGGCGCAACAGGTTCTGCTGTTGACCGACGAGCTTTACAGCCTCCAGTCCGCGAGAACTGCTTCGGCCTGGATCAGCCGTCAGGCTCAGTTCCTATGTCCACCTTCGGCTCCCATTTTCACGTATTCTGTTGACCCCAAAATCTTTGATCCCTTTTGTGCGCAGAAATACTCATATTAAGGCCACGACTGCACATGCGGCGTAGGGCGTAGGGCAGCTCAGGGCTTAGGGCATATACCGCCCTCTCACACACACACACACGAGAGTTCTGCGATTGTGCTGCTGAGGGGCTGCCCAGTCCTTGCGCCGCATGTGTCGCAGCTATCAACGTTTCCCATTGGCGACGAGCCCCAAGCAGGTGGGCTGTGATGTCCAGTCTTCTACGCAGAAAACCCAATACCCTTCATGAAAGGCTAGGGTCGGCTCAGGCTCAGATCTCAAGCTTATGGG